CAAAATTGATGTCACAAGATTTAGGTTGACAAGATTTAGTATAAGATTTAGGTATATAAGATTTAGTGTCACAAGATTTGGAGTGACAAGATTTAGTATAAGATTTAGGTATACAAGATTTAGTGTCACAAGATTTGGAGTGACAAGATTTAGTATAAGATTTAGGTATATAAGGTTTAGTGTCACAAGATTTGGAGTGACAAGATTTAGGTATATAAGATTTAGTGTCACAAGATTTGGAGTGACAAGGTTTAGTATAAGATTTAGGTATATAAGATTTAGGTATATAAGATTTAGTGTCACAAGATTTAGAGTGACAAGATTTAGTATAAGATTTAGGAACACACGGTTTTGTATTATAAGATTTAGTATCATAAGATTTTGTATTATAAGATTTTGTATTATAAGATTTAGTATTATAAGAGTTAGAGTTATAAGATTTTGTTGTTTTCAAAATTGTGCCGTTATCAGGAGGTTTTGGTTTCAGTTGGCACATTTCTGAAACCAATTTTAGTTTTTTGAATCATCATCATCCGAGAATGAGTCATGCGAGCCTTGGAACTCACAGTCGCACATATGGACACGCCCTTCTTTTGTAACTTGAGGCGACGATTGCGTATTGTTTGGTTCCGCACGGCGTTGATTGTTATATTGTCTCTTACGACAATTATTGATGTGATGACCGTGTTTTTTACAGTAGGCACAAATAAGGGTTTGAGAAAATTGTGCATTATTTTGACCGGGAGATGATGTTGAAGGCTGTACAAGGAAAGATTTTTGAAATTGCTGTTCACGTTTCTTCACGTAACAGTCTGAAGAGGAGTGGCCATTTTTATGGCAGATAGAGCAAGTTTTGATGGGCTTAGGGCCGTAGGAAGAAACCCTAGTCAGTTTAAAAAGCTTCTCTTCTTCAACGGCCTGTGTGATGGCGTCATTCAGGGTTAAAGGATTTCTGCACCTTACTATGGTAGAGAGATTGGGACTAAGGCCAAGCAAAAAGGTGTTGAGGGCCAAGTCTTCCATTGCTCCTATACGCCCAGGTAGTTGAACTTTGTCCTCACATGAGAATTGGATATCAGCTTGGAGGCGAGTCAAGCAAGCTTCGATGCGAAGACCATATTGCGTTACAGTTTCCGAAGGTGTTTGTTTGCAGCTTTGAAGGTCGTGCAGCAAATGGCTTGAGTGCTTCTTTTCGCCAAAAGTAGATTTTAAAAACTTTTTTAATTCGGGCCAATTACTAAAACTTTTAAGGCTACAAGCTGTTTGTGCCTTTCCTTCAAGCTGTGAAATTATATATTTACAGAGAAAACCTTGTTGCTCTATGCTACAAAATGAAATTGCACTGTCGCAATTGGTTAAAAATGCTGGTAGAGATTCCCTGTCTCCGTTGTAAGGCTTGATAAATTTTGTTAATACATTAAGGGTAATTTTAGGTTCTCCCTTGTCAGTCATTTTGTGTTGAAATAAACTCAAAATTCAAAAAAAATAATAATTCGATAAAATATAAGTATAAAATGATGAAGTAGAAGATGAAAAATAGATATAAGAAATAGTTATTAAAAAGAATGTAATAAGTAAATTAAGAGGGTGTGTTAAATAGGAAAGATTGATAGATTACTCACAGCAGTGCGGCTATCACCTTCATTATTTTTGTCCACGCGTAGTGTTATTGCGTAAAAATGTCTTAAATGAGGTCACGAATATTGCGATGCGATGCAGCAGCGACGACACGGCCGGAAGTAACCCGACACTCAATGAAGTGGCGCGTGTAGACTCAAAAAACGTGATTTCGCCGTCACGTTGCTATGAGGGATGAGCACAACCGGTGAAGATGTTGAAATTTGGGAGACCTTGCCGTGGTGCGGGCTCACGCATAGAGCGGAGGCTTATCGTCGACCACAGTTTCTTGTCCGTGAATGTAGTGTCCTTGCAGCAGGGTGTGATGCGGGCTCACGCTAAGGGCGGAGGCTGACCGTCGATCACGACTGACTCGTAGCCGCTAGAGTTCTTTTGGATGCTAAGGGCTCTCTGTATAGATTCTCCTCAGCATCCCACTTCTGACACCAGTTGTTAGGACGCGGCTGGTGTTAGTCTTTTTAAAAAAAAAACCCACTGAGACTGCTAATACTACTTTAATGAAAAGAACTTGAACTTTACAAGAATTAGAGTAAAGGATTGTCTTAAACTCGTCAGGATGAGATATTGACAATGTGACGGCACCGGTAGACTGAAATCGCCACGCGGTTGCAAGTATTTTTATAGTAAACAAAAATGCATGCATTTGCAATAACCGCGGACTAATTGTGAATATAACAGTTCGTCGAGTGTTTTTGAATACGATCGAGCATCAAGTCACCTTGTCGCGTATGATAAGTACTTAAAACACAATAATAATTAAACAATAAGATCATAACCCAGCATTGTGCTACGGACTGTTGACTGAGCGACTGCATTCATAGCTTACGCAGTCAATAACTCTTGTTGTGCCGCAGGTAACATAATTCATATACAGTAGTACTACAATAGCTAGTTGCGCCTAGTAAATATTAGCCTTACTGCAACACGAGCTTTGTCTATAACAATAATATTAGTATTTATTTAGGACCTTCATAATTACTAATGTTGTGCTTATTTTGAATAGATCTGCATTACCTAATGTGTATCCGCACAATAGCTGTTTACGCTAGATGTGAGATTATTCCCAGTTAGCGGTAATTGGCACAAAGTTCAAGACATTTGCGCAGAGAACAAAACGTGAAGCGACAAACAAAATCATCAACAAGCAAATACATTAAACGTCGTTAGTCAATTAATAACAGATCCTTTCATTTTTTTCCTTCTTATTTTGAAGTTAATTTTTACTTTTATAAAATATATTGATAAACTGAAGGAGTATTACCCTCCAAGCCTTATATAAATGTTTTCAGCATTAGAACTTGTAGTGAAGATCTTTCTCGTAGCTCAGTTCTCATCACCAAAATAATTCAACTATCAAAATTTTCAAGCAAAAACTCGTTACCCGCTATCATTAATACCAACTTCTACTAGATGCAGAGAAAACTCTTATTCTTATAAAAGTATAGGCTTAAATAGACTGCTCTTAAGACAATGATTTCATATACTTACGTACAATTGTTGTTTTGTTTGTGAGTGTTTTTATTGTTAATACATAATACCTTTTGAAAGTTTCTTTTGTGTGAATTAATAGTTTGCAATGTATTCAGTTACATTTTGCAATGTATGTCACAGAAGGTGTGGCCTGACCGTCATGGTCAGGCCACACCTTCTACTATGGATTAGGGTTTGTAAACTACTTCCGTGTGACTCTCCAGTTGAGTCCATAATTTTTACGTTGAATTTATAGTGGTAGACCGCTGCTACGACATGCGCTACGAGCTACGGCTGTAGCAACTCGCCGCTACTAAGTGTAAAATTCTGTTTGATAGATGCGTACTATTAAAAATACGATAGGGTCGGGTGCGAACGGTTAAAAACTTGATTCTTCATGAGATCTGATTACAGTTTTACAGAGCGTGCTATATTTTCTTGTGTTGTGTGAGATTGTAATTTTTAGAAGGGGAACATTAAGTAAGTCACCGCGAAAAGTGTTTGACGAGAATAGTTTTATATTTTCAAAATGCTTTAAAAAGTGTTGCCAGAATATTTGTTCATTTATTTATTGTAGCGTTGGAATCATTCGCCTTTAATGGTTACAATATGTAACACCAACTTGTTTTTTGACGTAATGGTATTTTATGTGTATAACTTTTTGTGCCACATACAATGCAACATTATTGCTGAGTGGAGTAAACAATAATTACGAAACAAAAGCCTGCTTATGTACCGCCCGGACGGTGGTTACTGAATCCTATTGTGTGCTTTATTGCTTCTGCAACTGTAAGCCACTGCAATAAACAAATACACAATTGCAAAGACTAACAAATGACAGCCTGCTTTAGATAACACGTAATATAGTAAGACAATGCTCCCGTATCTGTGCCGGGCATGTTTAGCAGCAACCTGCGGGCGCGGGGCGGCGCGAGCTTTGTGGGCGCTGACTGAGAAATGTATTTTAACTACAACTTGTATAAATACATAAATAATATATAGCACGTGTTTGCTGGGTTAAGTATTTGATAGTTCCAGATTATGGTACTTTCCGGCAACAAGCTATTACTGTCGGCAAACTGAGCAAGCGGCGGAGTTTGCATCACAATGGATGAACACATGGATTTTATCGAAAGAAGATAATTTTGAAACATGTGACATGTACATAATCATTTATCATGTTCTCTACAATAAATTTAACGTGTATTCTACATAAAAAATCCATTTATATAAAAACACTTAAATTAAAATGTAAACATAAATCTAGGCAGGCTTTTTTAAATTTGGTTATTGCCAACTTCAACAAATATAAAAAGGTTTATTCTACGATAGTTAAAATTTAGATAATTTTAGTACAAACTATTGTTATATTCGAAATAATAAAAATTAATTATGAAAAAAGAAAATATTACTAATTCTTGCGAGATTTATAACACAAAAAGCTTTCAGATTCGCTTAATATTATCAAAACACAGCTCCATTCCCTACTAATCTATTGATCTACCTAATCATGTACATACTTAGATGTACCTATGAATATTATCAAAGCTCACGACATTTGCGCAGAGAAAAACGTGAAGTGACAAACAAAATCATTAACAAGCAAGTATATTAAACGTCGTTAATCAATTACTGATGGATCCATTATTTTGTAAACATTACATTAGCTAAGATACCCAAGAGGAACGTACTAAATTAGCTTGCCATCTACTTGCACTAATCCCTTCAATCAGGGTAAGCTAAAGAATTGTCTCAGTTGTCGCAGAGCGCAGTAGCTGTGCTTTTCCCCCACCACTGAGCAACATCCTGTGGCTATATAAGAACAGGCCACACCCCTAGCCCAGCATTCCTCACGTACCTTTGGGACCTTACACACGTAATCACACGCAACAATGTCTATTTGGCGCCCTTACTTAGAAGACGTCGCCACGGACGACCCGCTAAACCTCGCCGTGACGCAGGTGTCGCAATCTGATGCAGTGTCGGTAACATACCCGGCATGTCTGTCGAACCTGGCATACCCGGAGTACCTAGCGGTGCCTCCGCAGCACTATGGGCCGGCCTGGATGTCTCCAGGCCAGTATGGTTACTACCAATTTGCGAGTGCGCCGTCGCCGTCACCGTCACCTGTGCTTGCTCCTCCCGCTGCCGTTTCTCCACCGAAGAGCTCGCCTGCCGATTACGAAGATGCTGAAATCTCGGAAGATGAAGACTTCCAGTTGTTTAAAAAGATTTCCATGGATGCTATGGCAATGAGAAATGGCGGTACAATACTTGCAAGTAATCCGCGCATGCGTCGTACCGTACGCTCCGCGGCGGAGGACGACGCCTACCGACGCACGCGGGAGAAGAACAACGCGGCGGCGAAGCAGAGCCGCGACCGTCGCAAGCTGCGCGAGATACACCTCTCGCTGAAGGTGACCTACCTCAAGCGGCAGCTGGCGACGCTCAAGGCGGCGCTGGGCTCCCAGACCTGCACCCGCTGCCACCGTTCCACTCTGAACTAGTAGTAGTGGCACACTGCCACTCAGTGACTGTGATGCACAAAGATACCCAACAATGTGCATTGTACTCATAACTAAGCCATACTTAGACTTAAGTAAATCCATTAAATGGATGTAAAGACTTTAACTGATGTGCAATTTTTAATGTAACTTATTTATTGTATAAGAAATTTGATAGTTTAACCACATTTTTGTAAAACATTTGGGTACTTAAACAAGACTGAATAAACATTATTTTTTAATACCTTACATTATAGTTTACTTCACTTCTACTACCTGTATAGTCAACCAATGTTAAATCCCTCAAAACCTTCTTCAATTATGACTTTAATTAGGTTACAATAATAATAATAAAGCAATAATTTGCTAGGAAAATGGTATCTACTTATACTTAAAAATATAAGTAGAGTTATTCGGTTAGGTACAGTACATAGTTACAGTTAACTCATGCTACAACAGCTATACAAGTTTGATAGTAATTTGCCAATTACTAATGAAATAAATATAGGTACTGAATGAAAAAGCTGCACAATTAAATATGGACTACATGATAGGAATTGAAAAAATCTAGGTTCAGCTGTCTGCGTAAGTACCTCTCCACTAACTTAAAGTAAAAGTCGAAAGAAAAACTGTTTGCATAATTTATTAAAATATTTACTTGTCACCTATATCTATAGGTATATACCTATACTAATTACTACACCTATACCTGTACTAATTATTCCTATAGTTGGTTGAAAAAGAAGGACCGATATGGTTCCGTAGAATGTGTCTAATTTATGAAAAACACTAAAGGTAAACCTTTGTAATTTGTTACGCCAATTTTGTTATTCAATTCTCTCTTTTAATATAAATGTAAGCACCATTCTACTATTCACTAGTCGTTCAGGTAATTTGGTCAAGGGTTATTAGGGTAACTCTCAAAAAAACATAGGACCACGTTATAATACCCTTAGGAATATGAGACCACAATTATATTGACTACTAGCTATTCTCGCGCGGTTTCACCAGCTGCTTAGCTCCATTTGATCGTAGCGTGATGTTTTATAGCCTATAACATTCAGGAATATTGTAGCTATCTATCACAAATTTTACATTTTTTTTACTCTACATACAAACATACAAACTTACAAAATGTTACCTCTTTATAATATTTGTATAGATTAGTATAGAAGACCAGACCAGACCAGACAGATTATTCACCAACGTACAATAACTACCGCTACAAACTGTTGCGGGGTTTATTGAGTTAAAAATCTATAGACACGTGCCATTTAAAAATATCGGCTTATCCTCAAAAGAAACAATGCAAATAATAAGCAACCCATCTCTCTGCGTACCCTTACGAACTGAACGGGAACAATATAATTATATTCCCAATAAAAGCAGGTGCTCGGGGCGTATTATTGTCCTACGATTTAAAATTTTTAAATAATGTTTGCACCAAAGTTATCGAAAGTATAAATAAACTCTGTTATAAGATTTACAGCCTTCTTTACTTAGAATAAAAGTGCAAAACCGTTTAAGCAGGGGAATCTGCTGAAAGGGTTGCAATAAAACAGTTATTCGGGTATTGAAGGAGATTTTGAGGTGTTCCCGTAACTTATTGTGTCAATTGTGGACATTGTAGAGCGTTGCGATTCGATTCGCATCAGTATGATGTGCGTGGTGCGGTGGGATGTGATTGACATGTCAATGTAGCTGGCTAGGCCTTTGTACAGGAAGAGTTTGTGGCCACATGTGGGAACACGGAGTAGGTACATGACAAGCAAACGGTACATCAGTAGGTCCCTAATACCTTGAATAAAAACTTATCAATATGTTATATGCAACAACTATACATTGCACATAAGATAAGTATTATGTAGACTCGTCAACTTACAATGAAGACTCATATGGTGCCTCTCGCCATGGCCGAAAAAAGTGATTCGATTTTCTACTTCTCATAAAAACACATATCTTAATGTGTTTCGCTACTCAGACGGAGTTTTGTGAAGAAAGTATTTATTTAAGTATAAATAAATAAATGAGGCTGAAAAAACTCTAGTTCGTAACTTAAAAGTTCACTTGTAATTGCACTTTCCAAATTAAGTTATTAAATAACCCAATGTAAATAAACAAATTTTACTGTGTGGTATCGTGTGGATTAATGAAAATAATGATTTGTCTAGTAACTATGATTGTAGACAAAGCTGCAAATAAAAGCTGAACAACTAAATAATAAAGATAAAAAAGCAACAAGATAAGTACATACATAATGTGGATACATAAATAAGTACATACGCACGCATCAGCTTTCTAAGCTGCTAGTGTGTTCAAGTATAATAATAATAATAAATAAAATTTACCGGCATTCTGAAAGGTGAGGAAAGCTAAACTTAATTGATGGATAATAATAAGGGGCATAAAGTTAAATTAAATTAATATATGTATAAAAATATAAACAAACCCGCTTGTCATGTTTAAAAATTAACTAGAATAAAAACAAGTTGTCAAGAGGAAAGGTCGTATGACTAAGTTAATCGACTAAGAATAAAAATTGATTATCCTTTTAAAATATTAATTACATCTACTAACGCCATCTATCAGCACGAATAAGAGAAGTTGTGTGTAGTGTACCTTTTTTGTAATCTACTTTCTCAAACTCCGGATAGTTATTAGGAACACGAGCTGCTCAGACTTTTTAAAGTATCTTATTTTTTATTTAGGTAGGTAGGTAAGCCTCATAACTGCCCCATTGATTTTTTCCCCTATATCACCGGGGATCCTTATAAGTATCAGGATTCCAACGATATGCTATATGTCTAATTCTGCCGAGGCATTTAGAAATAACAGTCTCACATACATACTTCCTGAAAACATAACACTCCTATTTTACTAAGCGCGGCGTGCATTGGTTGCACAAGTTGTACAGCTGTATGCAGCCGCGCGGACCGGGCGGTGTCATGGCGGCTTGCACAATGCGCGAGACGTGAGGCGCGGGATTGGTCCAATATTTATTGCTGTTTGTAACCCGTGTTTTTTACTAGATTCCGGGATACCTCTATTTATTTACTTGAGTTAAGTATCTTACATTTATCTACATAACATTTTCTCTTTATCGGAATCTCGGCAACTTATTCCGATGAAATTTTGTGTGTAAAGGTACCTATTTGTTGCCGAAAAATTGGTCATTCAGGTACTACTCTATTGTAGAAAACATATCTGCGTTACTAGGCGCATTAATAAATAACCAAGTGATTTATGAAGCTTTTGCTTAGGTAGCTATAGGATTAGCTATAGTGTTGTTACCAAAACACATTACACAATACAAAAGCAATAATTCCTTTTCAGTACCTATTGTCACTTTGTCTCCGCGCTCAGTGCGCTGCGCACCGCGCCATTGTTTTACTCCTTGAGGCGATCCTTTACAAATGTGTGTGGCTATACACTGCTTTACACTGCGTTACATTTATTGTCTTTTAAATGTGTTTAAAGAAAGATAGTGAATTCCTTCAAAGATCCTTAAATGAAAAATACGAGTTATACTAACTTAGACAAATACAAAACAACGTATCGGCTTGTTAAAACTCTTGTTTCTATTTATTATCTACCTAGCCGCCCATATTCAGACTGCATGGTTGACGCGGTGGTTGGGCAACCAGCTGCCGTGCAACAAGTGATGAGCTCGATTACCGCGTGGAACAACACTTTGTGTGATCCACAAATTGTTGTTCCGCATAAATGTTTTACGCATACCGCAGCTCACATTTAAGTAAAATAAATAAAAGATATTTTAAGAATTTTCTATTAGTGAATGGATGGCTAAAATCGATTTAGTAGTTTTAGAGGTTTAGGTCCTAATCCAAGGTCGAATTTGGAATAATGTATTACGTAGTTTCAAAAGAAGTAATGATATAATGGTCGTAAGGTTGGAAGACATTAATTGTGTTCCACGGAGCGACTCGCACATAATAAATCAACAAGCTAAGTGTGGGAGAGCCAAGCTAATTGTGGGAGAAACATGCTTCGGCACGTATGGGACGGCTCCACTAGGGTGGATTAACACGGCCTCACAGAAAACCGGCGTGAAACAATCACAGTCTTCCGCCATGTGAGTGAGGTAACCGGAGGCTCAATCCCTGAATTCTTTTATTATTTGTACGATGGCGCCCCTAGCCAAAATCAATTAACTCCAACACAAATGAGACATCGCAGTCAAATCATCAAATCCTGATCCCAGAATAAACCTATTTTTTTTATTTAAACGAGCCCGTAGTGGACAAACACAAGTGTAGGTTACCTGTGTTCCGTAAGCTCGCTCCCTGCGACATTATAAATAACGGTAGGTATTTATTGTTCCAAGTTCTGTTTGGCAAACTTGCGAATCATCGCATTGTTTCCGCGCACCAGAAAGGGTTGTCCTTTGGAACTGTAACACAATGCAAATTATACAATTTGCATGTTACGCTTGTAGCGTATCTTCCTAGAATCTTGACTTGCACTAATTGTTAAATGAAAACCGAGTCTGCGTCAACCTTCTATTACTGCCTCGGCTACATTTATAAACAATTATTGGTCATTGTCTTGACGTACTCACTAACCACTAATTTTGAATGTGCGATGGTTTTCGTACCTTCAAATATAATATAAACTGACACCAGTATAAAGATGACACTATAAATATACTTATACCCGGTAAGGCTTATTTTTAGCTGCAGATGCCAAGGCTGGTGCATGTTTGTAAAATTACTTAGTACCTTTTTTGTGAACAATTTAGAGGACGCTGAAAACAGCAGTTCCTAGCGGAAAAGTGTGCAAGAGAAACACAATGCAGTCCCTATACCTATTTATTTAACTCTTTAATGGTTTATTTCAATATAATACCATCAAGTTTAGTGTCATGCAAAAGGAAGTCTCGTGAGTATTAACTTAGACATAATTACCTAACTACATCGTCACATCGGGCACGATTTTGGAATCCTTGCCTCTATTAATTAAGAATAAAGACGAGATACCGAAAAATAGTCAATAGTTATTTATAACGCTTTGAGTGAACCTATTTATATGATGACTTTTTTGTACCTACCAATATTTTGTAAGTTGGTTATTATTGAGTTCAATATCTTTATTATTGAGTAGGTACCTACCCTAAGTATCCAATATATTTTACGCTAACTGCACCTAATAGTTTTTCAAACTCAAGTTCACCAAATCACAAAGTCGAAGTCATAAAGTAACAAAGGTGTGTGATAATCTGTACACTTCACTTCCCATAGCCAAGTTTCTTTAATACATATCGTGATAAGACCCCCCATTGTAATCACCGTGGTAATCACAACATTCTCACACGTGTGCAATAAAGTACATGTACCTAAATGTATATAAAATAAATAAAGAAAAGAAAATAATGAAATAAAATACGTAAAAAAATAGAAAATTTAGCTAATTTTAGAAGAACAATGTTATTAGTTTAATTTTATAATTTTACTGTTGGCTAACGACATCTAGCGACGAATAGTGGTAGTTTATGATAGACCCCATCATACGTTCTTAGTTTTGTTGGATATAATTTACTGATAATTTATAAAATACAATTGACACGTTTAATTATTAAATTTCTAAATTAAAATGAAAATTATAATTTTAGACATCTGCAAAAAAGCATTTGTTTAGCATATATTTTTTATCTATGGTCGGCCATTTTGAATTTTGATAATCTGATTGACCGTCGAAACAATCTTGATGTTTTTCAATATACCTGTAATTTTATTACTAAATTACCGTTTCTATTAAACGAATTAGTAGCGCCACATTCGTCACCATCATCTCTCCGTGCGCTGCTTGTTTCTAGGGGGGTCAAATAGTGTTCTAACGATCAGCTGTCACGTATTACTGACGTGTAGAACACAAACAAATCTAATATTTTGGGTTTGCTATGCTGTTTTCACGATGAACGGTACGTTTAACGAGCAGCTCGGTGGCGTAGCCGGATTGTTCGATCAATGGGGTGCTTGCGAGCAGACCGTGTTGGCCTGCACGCTAGCACGGCGAGTACCGTGGCCAGGCCTGAAGCTGGTGCAGCGGGCAGTGGAGGCGGCGCTGCGCAGCCACGTCGAGGACGAGAGGCTAGAGCGTGATGCCAACGACGAGGTGCATCTAGCTAATCTTCTCACAGTCAACGGCGACGACGATGACGGTATCTACTCATTACTATTGCTATAAAATGTTTCTCTTACGGTTTTCCTTGTACTAAGAATGGAACTGCATTTCAAACTATGGATAGATAAAGTAAGTGTTCCTATAGTTTAACTCCAATAATTTTGTCAGTGTTCTGTTAATTATCTTATTGCTCTTGGAATGAAATAATTAACCAGAACAAAATCTTACTAATTTAACTAACTACCCTAAAAATCTTATATTAGTTTATATAGTCCAGAGTCAATTTTAGCTAAAATCTTTAAACTGCACAATTCAATATTTAGAATTTCATATACATGTGTGGTTGAACTTCATCATCAATAACATAAGTCACTCTGATGTGCATCACTGAAAAATGTGCAGAACCTAGACCTGCATGGGTATTGACTCGGATTGAAATGTTTCCACTAAATGATTAAAAGCACAGGAAGTAAAGTTGCATTGATAAGTATTTTTCTATAATCTAACCACAAATTATAGGTGTTTTGGTGACTTATAAGTACTTAGTCACTAATCTGAGAACTACCTACATGTTTTTTACTATAGTGTTTGTGAAGCCTGGAAGTTACAGTTGGAATTTCTACTATTATTCATCCATTACTAATGATTTGTTACTGCTCAAGAATAAGATAATACCTAATATTTGTGATTATTTGTTTGGTCAGGTTGTGAGCGTCTCCACCGCCTGCTTGCCTTACTGCCACTGCTAAGGATGGACAATGAACGTTGTAAAGACCTGTATGTCACAGCAACACCAGCTCTGGTACAGCGTTGTATGGATGCTCCGCGCCGTAGCCCTGTTGTGCCTGATCAATGCCGACAGCTGCTGTCATACTTACTAGTTCATCCTGCACTTACACATCATGATGAAGGGTAAATAATCTAAAATTGTAAATTTTACATACTTTGAAATCATGTTATATAATTTGTATCGTGTTTTTTGCAGAATATTAAAACAATGGTTAAGATACTTAGAAAACCACATTGCTGGAAACAGACCAGAATGTGTTTGGCAACAGAGAATAGAACCCTGCCTAATACCAGACTCTAACATTTGGAGTACAACAAACAGTTCTTTTAGACGAACCATTGGTAAAAATGTGGAATTTAGAGGCATCATAGGATTAGATGGTGCAGAACACTTTAACACAGACCTATTGCAAGAGTCATTCTCTAAAAACGGCCGCGATGTAGATATAAGTATAGAAGGAGAAAAATTAAATTTTGATGCTACAATATCCCAACCAAAGTCGCAAAGATCGAACAGCTTGACCCCTCCATCGAGTAATTTTACGCACATGTCTTCTTCTGCTGAGAATTTAAGCGACGCACCTTTTGTTCAGAAACCCAGAAGCTTTTCTCTGTCCAGTGAGCACAGTTTGAGTCAGATAAGGCCTATTAGTATAATGTATGGGACAACAGGCAGTGAGACAAGACTGGACGACCTGAGATCACACAATTTCGGCGAACATCCAGGGATGTCTAATGTCGCGCAGTGGCTGAAAAGCCTGCGGCTACATAAATATGTGTGGTTGTTTACTAATATGAGTTATGAACAGATGATGGCTATGGATGAAAAGTATTTGGAGAAGTTAGGTGAGATGCACAGTCTGTTACTTAACAAAATATATATATTTATTTCATTAGTAGGTTCTTGGACTATGTCTTGGTATCAGAGTTATACTCAATTTCAATGTTCATGTCCTTGCACCTGCAAAGCCGTATGTCACAAACAATGTACATGACATAAAACAGTTCAGTAGTGATTCATGTGAAGCGGTGTGTGTACAGGAGTGACGAAGGGCGCGCGGCACAAGCTGTTGCTGTCCATCAAGAAGTTGTCTGAGCGCGGCGCGGTGCTGGCGGCCGTGGAAGCCGAGCTGCGAGGCGGAGCCCCCGCGGGGCGCGCGCTGGAGCGCCTGCGCGCCGTCCTGCTGAGCCCCATGCCGCCCGCCTGCGACCTGCCCGCCGCCATCGTTCGTGCGCTTCACCTAGGTACTGCTGCCAGCCTCCACATATTCGTACTTACCTATTACCTATTCATTTTACTACATCAGCCTATAAATATCCTATTGCTAAGAAAACATGAGATTTTATCGTCCATCTTGCTCAAGGCGGATTAGCGATTTCTAACTTTGAAATTATAAGAACCGGTTTTCTCACTATGTTTAATTAATTTAACTTCCAGCTTCAAAATGTCTGAACAAGGCGACGTGTCAACCCGCCGTGCGTGTGCCGTCGCAGCTCACATCGGAGGACGGCGACCACGAGCCCCCCGTGGACCCGATGTCGTTACACTGTTGGCTTGTTGAGAAGGTAAGCAAACATAATCATGTCTTTATCCGGTCGCAAACGACGCAAACATTTGCAACTCCTCTGGGTTTGTAGGTGTCCATAGGCCGAGCGGAATATTCACTAATATTCTTTTAAAAAATTAATGTAAGTATATTTTTTCACATAGGCATTACATCACGAAGCATTTAGTCGGCCAGAGCTGCAGGAAGCACTGAAAGGCTTGCGGCACCGCCTGCCACCGCGTCAATTCTTCCACCACGTGTCTGATATGCCTCTTAACCGAAGATGTCCCAAGCCTAGGTATGAGTCACCACAAAGTATTATATGGCAGTTTTTCGCCCCGGCCTCGGCCTTGACGGTGAAGAACAAATACGGCGCTTATATACTGTGAATATAAAATTGGTATTTTGATGTTAGATGGCGCATCGGGCCGCACACTGGTCACCCGAAGGCAGCGCGGCCGCGCGCCTGGGCTGGCGCAGGATGCGGGGGCGCGGGCGGCGGCGGGGGCGCGGGGAGCGCGGGGCGCGGCGCGGCTGCGGCGCCTGCGGCGGCGGACCACTACTCGAGCCTGGACGCTCTGTGCCTTCAGATGACGGAGCAGGCCATCAACTGACGGCCCCCACCAGCCCCCGTGGGCCCCCGCCAGCCCCCGCCCGCTGCTGTCTGTGCGCGCGGTTTCTTATGAAATCCTTAGTTTAGCTGGACCGGGCTCGCGGTGGCCCGAGCCCGTATGACGCAAGTAGCTAGAGAAATTGCGGTTTTCGGTGTCGATTCGACTGTCTCGCTCTCGACGAGGTGATGCCGTGCCGTGGAAGTATACAAATTATTGCTAGGTAGGACAGGATTATAGCTTTTTATATCAGACACCTGCATTTGGTCATAGTTTCACCCCCCGAATACTTAGCTTAGTAAGTATTCTCTATCGATAATGCTAGTGTAATCGGTTACATCGACTCGATTGTATACAACTAATGGTATCCTAAATTTCTCTGGTGCTAATTTTTGCGAAGTTTTATTTGTAGTTAGCTGTATAGTATGTATAGTGCAGCGGACGAGTGTCGCCGCGGATAGTTACGTTGTCGCGTAACGTACGTGCGTACTGGCCGCGTGTTGCTTGTAGCGCGACACGGACTTACGAGAATTAGTTATTTAATGTTGTTGACTGATGTTTGCATAATTTATGAAGTTCGCAAACTGTTATTATTTATACTTTATTATTTAAAGCAATGGATATTTATATTCAGTGATTATATTTTGACTGGATCAAAAATCTGATTGTAATGTGTGCAATTTATATATTTTTTATTTACGCAATAGTTTTTCTATATTTGAAAACTTATAGAATTCATGTAAATAATTGACTAGTTCACATTGTATTTATAAGGGTTATTGTTTTGTACAAAACATGTGTTGATGACATATTATATAATAGAATAATATTATAATGAAATGATTTTGACTATAATTATGAAGAGAAATGTATTGGGTTATGAGTAGTTTTGTTTTAGGCATACCTCCATGCTGTCTACAGATATTTATATTTAGCCAATTGTACAGAAGTTTACAGAGTATATTTATTCTTTCTACCTACATACCTCAATTCTTGTTCTGTTAAATATTTTCATTCACATCTGTGTTCAAGAGCTTTAGTTACTAATAATCTGTAGCGGACTGTGATACGGTTTGATTTGGATCATGGATCATGATATTCATCAGCACTAAAAATAAATATTGTATAACATTTGTTTTGTTTCACTGTTCCATCCTGCCATCTGATGTGGCTTTACAGCCTTTAATATCTTACACGGGATAATGTCAGTACTTTAATATAAGAACAAATTTTGCTTGGAAGTAACTGGTTAATTAAAAACAACATACTTAACTAAGATTTATTTTTAGACATATAACAAATTACTTACCTCTATTTCCTGGACTAGATACTGTTCAATAAATCAAATTGACAAAGAATATTTGGTTTCGTTACAAAAATGGCTTGATTAAAATTAAGTGACTTAGCTTAGTTTCTCTTTATGAGTACCAATTTTATGTCTGGCAAGATCATTCTTTCTATAAAATGAACGTGAGCACCTGTCACATGGGAATGGGATGTGAGTTCCATGGAGTTTGGCTGTATGGAAGTCCAGCATTGGCCTTGATGGAAAGCTCATCAGACAGTCTGCTACTTCACACTTGTATCTGTCAGTCTTCTTATGTCTAAAGTTCATGTGACGTACTAATGCATTCTGTTCATAAAAACTGCTGGGGCATAGTTCACACTTCAGAGGCCTTTGGCCAGTGTGTCTCCACATGTGCACCTCTATATTAGCCACATTTTTCAAGCACACAGAACAATGGCCAGACTTTTCAGAATGTTGTTTATCAATGTGGACCTTAAGGTTGCCCTTCACATTGAATGTACGTCCGCAATGGTTACACACAAATCTATTTGGTTCTGAGTGCAGCCTCACATGTTTTTTCAAATTGTTTTGGTACTTGAATAGCACTTTACAAACCGGACATGCAAATTTTTTCTCAGTTGTGTGTACAGTTAGGTGACATTTTAGTTCCTCCTTAGTACAAAATCTCTTTGGACAAGCTGTACACAAGTGGTCCTTTTCACCAGTGTGACGTTTTTTGTGCCTCTGTAATGCACTGATCTGTGTGAACCTCAGGGAACAAATGGAACAACTATAAGGTGTTTCGCCTGTATGTGTCCGCATATGAATTTTGACATCATTCTTGGAAAAGAAGCCTTTGCCACAATGTTCACAAATGAAGTTTCGCTGCCGTTTTTGAAGGATATGTGTTCTTTCAATATGTCGTTTTAATGTGCCTCCATCTTTATAACTCTTTTCACAAGATGAACATGCATATGGTTTCTCATTTGTATGGGATCTCATGTGAATCTTAAATGTTGATGGGTTAGCACATTGTCGGCCACAGACTGAGCATGTGCAGGACTGCACGCATTTCTGTTTAGATGATTTCCGTTTTATTTTCGAACCACCACATTCTAATTTAATTTCTAATTTGCCTTGTTCTGCTTCGAGTTGTATGTCGTTTTGTAAATCATTGTAATATTGGTCCTCGTCGCTGTTACATTCTAATTTAACTTCAATTTTGGGTGAGGAATCTGGTAGAACATTAGAATTTATTTCTAAAGCTTGAGATCGTAACTTCTTGTCGGAAGCTTCGCATTTTAGCACAAATTGGTAGCATAATGCAAGCTCACTTTCACAGCCGCTGCAAATATAGGATGGAAGGCCATCTCCGTCTTTAACATTTAAATTTGAACAACAATACATTATTTTTGTACATAACGCAATGTCTTTAACTTTACTAAAAATATGAGCAGTTCCATAGTTTTGACAACATAACCGACACGACTTTTCATTCATTTTCATGTCACTACATATAGTTAATAGAGAAAATTAATTAATACATAAAGTTTTCGTTGAACATACATTTGGATAGTTACGACTTTGCGACAAAAAATAAACAAACTTGAATCAGTGTAGGTGTCAACTGTCTGTCACTGGAAGCTTGTGTCGGTGTCAGCGAGAGTTCAAAGTTTAGTATCGTCACATGAGTATAAGGCGGAGGAATCTACTTTGACCATACGTTATTCTTGGAAGGAAGTTTATTTAATGTTTTCAATCTTCGAAAGTTGGGTTCGAATTTTATGTAAATATCTAGATCAAGTTGAACTGCAAATGGTTAAGCGTATGATAATCTTCATGGTTTCGTTACTTATCCGAACAGTATTAATGTATATGTATATATGATATTCTAAAAATAAATTTTCATTTTCATCATCATCAAAATTACAAATATAGGTTCAGACCAAGAGATACTATTTATTCTAGCATTTTAGAATCATATTGTGTCTCTTGAATGTTTAGAAGACTTAGACTTAGACCATAGAAACTTTAATTTCTGTATGCTTGATTGCTATTTGCTACCAAAACCAAGTCTGAAGTTTGTTGTTATGTTGTGTAAGTTGTTTGGTTTTAATTATGTACTTCGACTTTTGGAAATTAATGTAGGTAGGTACCATGGTTTCCACGTTTCCATTAAAATATCAAAACTGTCAGTGTCACTTGTCACTGATTGTCAAAAGGTTTGTTTGATGCATCTCCAACCAAAGTATTTTTATTATTTTGGTGTAATACATACTGAATAAAAACCGGACCAAGAGTGCATGTAATCTACGTACGTGCCTACCTTTTTACTATCTAAATAATTTTAATCATACAATAATGGATAACTCCAAACTTTGTCGGGTTTGTCTTGCGAAAAAGGCAACTATACCTTTATTCGATTCGAATGTCGATATGCAGTTGAGCATCAAGATGATGCGGTTCGTCAATGTTGTGGTGGTCGAAGGAGATGGACTTCCTGATAGTATATGCGATGGTTGTTCGAGTGAACTGACGGCAGCATACGAATTTGTCATTAAATGCGAAGCGTCAGACAAGGCCTTCCGCTGCGCTAGCATTACTAAAATTTATGAAGATGATGTAATGCCTAAACCAGAACTTCACGTTAAGTTGGAAAATATTAAAGAAGAAAGTGAACTTGATGATCAGGATCACTTTGACAGTTTTTTATTAGATGACCCATGTGATAACTACACTAGTAATAAAGTCAAAAGAAAGTATAACAAATCGAAAAAGTTCAAAGACAACATTGATCGTCGGAAGTTAAGGCCCAAACATGGCCCAGTAAGTTGCAATGTGTGTGGACAGATGGTTACATGTCGGTCAGCTCTAGAGAGTCACATGAGAACTCATACTGGTGAGAAACCTTTTGCATGTGACTACTGTGGTGCCAGATTTAACCTCAAGGGTACTCTCAAGAGACATACAATTACCCACCACACTCACAGAGAAAGAAAATTTATTTGTGAAACTTGTGGTAGCAGCTTTTTCTCAAAGAATGACATCATAACACACATTAGAGTTCATACAGATGAGAGGCCATACTCATGCCCTTTCTGTGATAAAGCGTTCCGACAGATAGCATCTTTAATTCGCCACAAACGGTTGCACACTGGTGAAAAACCGTACTCCTGTCACCTCTGCTTCAAGAAGTTCAAAGATAATGGCCACTTGAAGAGACATCAATATGTGCACTCTGATGAGAAGAATTTCACCTGTCACCTGTGCAGTAAATCTGTGAAAACAAAAAATGCTCTTAAAGCACATATGCAGGTACACTCCAATGAAAAAAACAACATTTGTAATTACTGTGGCATGGCATTCTCATTTAAGGGCAATCTGCAAGTTCATATCAAAAGAATGCACTCTGAAAGGTCAGGCCATTGCAGTGTCTGTTTGAAGACTTTCTCTGACTTAGAGGCTCACATGCGGAAACACACTGGAGAGAAACCATTCTCATGTAAGTTTTGTGACCAGGGATTCGCAAGTAAGAGAAGCCTGTCAAATCATATTGGCTTCAAACATGAGAATGTGGCAAAGTTCAAATGCTCCATAGGAGAATGCACCAAAACATTTCCAACAGCCATGATGCTTGAGTTCCACCTACTAAAGCAGCACACACACCACACGCCATATGTTTGCCACCACTGTTCCAGAGGATTCTTCAGAACCAGTGACCTCTCCCGTCACCTTAGAGTCAGTCATATGGATAATCCTACAGTTGATCCTCAAATGTCTAAACCTCAGTTGTCAGTGTCACCCATTATGCAAAATAATATTGTGTAGCCATCAGCTACAACTAGTTAGTGTTCTAGATACAATTATACATAATAGCTATGTGCAAACTATTACATGCCTTGGTGGCATGCTGTTATTTGGGACCACTGATTTTTATCATATATCAGGCATTATGTTAAGTAGCTTACAAAGTATATTAGAAAGAAAACAAATTAAAAGTAAATAAACATTAAGTTATATTATTTTTCTTGTTGATGTTTACTAAAATTGATTTGGAATGTAGCTTGAGTTAAATGAAGAAATGTAATTCTGTGTCATAAAGAATATGAGAGAAACATTGGTTTGCCATAATGTTAGTAACTAAGTACTATACCTATGTATAAACTAAGAGAGATTGTCAAGTGGTCAAAACAAGAATATGCAAGTTAATAATAGTTTATTCTACATTAGACTACCTACAGGGCCACATGCAATATTAATAATAAGTATGCCTGCACAGAGACAAATTATTATACATACAAAGTAAATATAGATTTCTTCAATCTATATTTACTTTGTATCCAGCAATACCTCTTAATTTCTTAATGTAATCAGGTTTGTCACCTCTGTAGTCATGTAAGTTTTTTGTAAGTAGGTGTAGTCGGTATTATAATGATTGTAGTCAAAAAATTCCATTAAGTCAGAATCCATGAAATCAAGATCTAATTAGAGTGTTCAGATCTGTCGTAGGCGCTGCCTGCTCACGTTGCTCGCGAGCTGCGCCGGCGTTCGTCAGATTCAACACTCCCTATAAAAAAAAGATTCTATGGTGGTTAATAATGCAATAGTTCCTAATAATTGTAAATCCAACAATCTAACTGCATTAGAATTTGACCACAATGTTTTTCTTCACCATTTTTCAATTGGCATCTCTATAAACATATAAAATCCCTACATACAACTCTAAAAAATCTCATTGGTACTTACTAGATTTTGATTTCGCACCCTCACGCATGATAAGCGCAAATAGTATCAATTTTAACTCTCCACACCCCTATGCAGTTGGTTTCAAACTTCCAAAGGAATGATAAAGATCGAGGGTCCTAAAAGAGAATGCTACAGGCGCGCTTGATTAATCCGTCGCTGTGTAACCGAGGTGATACTCGTATTACTTTATTTATAAAATTAACTG